CAGCGGTGGCCAGGGCCTGGTAACCCACCGGGTCAGCCCGCCCTGCCCAGGCGCTGTGGGGTGGGCACCCAACCCCCGTGCCGCCCGGCGGGTATGAGCTCAGGAGGGCGAGTGAGGGGTGGCTGCAGCTCTGGTTCCTGCCTGGGAAGCTGCTCTCAAGTTCACCTGCCTCCTGTGGCCTCGAGGGACGCTCCAAGGAGCCAGGGAAGGTACCTCCATTAGACGTCAGAGAAAATCCTGCGAGTTAAAAGGATTTGGAGAATTGATGCAACCTGGATTTAGATGATCAAAAGCATTTCTGGAGGCGGCCATCCGGGAGCGGCTGGAAGCTCCGGCGGGATGGGGGCTGTGGGAAGCCTCCCGTGCCCTCGGCAGGAGCCTGGTGGGCTGAAGGGCGGAAGGAGGATTGGACCAGCGGGGGCTCCAGAGGCACCCTGACCTACAGATCCCCAGCGTGTCCCCGCTGCCCTGCCCAGGCTGCTGCTCTTCCCTCAGCAGAGGGTCAGCGATGAGGGTTGAGAATGAGAACAAGTCCCCTGCCCACCACTCTGGGGGCCCAGATTCCCGAGCGGGGCCTCCTCTGAGGCAGATGGATGGGTACGAGGGTGGGGTCCCCAAGCGTCTGTCTCCTCCCCACCAGATCTGCTCTGGGCGAGTGGCCTGTTGGGCACCTCACTCCAGGTCGGCCCCTTGGATCGCGCCTGTATCTCCCTGCAGGGTAACCTTTCTCCAGCTCAGCTCAGCCCCGTGCTCTCCTGCCTGTTGGCTTTGGAGTAAATCCTATCACGCTAAACAGCAAGTGCCATCATATAGCGAGAGCTTATTGTATCCCAGACGCTGGGTCACGCCGTTGACGTGTATTAGCCCAAGGTGCCGTCAACTCCTTACAACAGCCCCCATATAATCATCACCCTCATGTAAAGAACCTGGCCACCTGCTCCAGAGTTTATGCTCTACACCTGGGCTGGCAGGTTGGGTGGTGGGTGGGTGAGTTGGTTCATGCTAGTGAGGTGGATTGATGGATTGAATCATGGGGGTTGGGTGATGAGTTGATGGATTTGGGGTTAGGTTGGTAGCTTGGATGGGTAGGTTGGTTTGGTGGGTTGAATGGTGGAAAGGCAGTTGGTGATTGGGCTGGGTGTTTGTTTGGTGGGTTGGTTGGGTGGGTTGGATGGGTGGGTTGGTTGGGGGGGTTGGTTGGGTGG